TTTGTTTTAGCTTTCATTTATCATGATGGAAGAAGAACATTTGTTAGATATTACACGCTCTGTTTCTGTGTCAGAAAATAAAGGGAGTGTTTTATCGGATAACTGTTCTTTCAGTGGTCCATGGCATACTGGCGCACGCCGCTGGTTGCTGTCAGCGTCTGGTGCGGCGGTCACCGCTTTGAATCTGCATCAAATATTTGATTGAACCCGTCTTGTTACTTGTTATATACCAGTAGTACATTCTCTCATAAGTGGAGTACGATGCCGTTGCCTTACTTGTGAATTTCTGATTACAACTCCGTTGTGATGACTGTTCGAGGTCGTCATTAAGTCAGAATGCGGCTTTGCGGTCGGTAGTATGACTTAGTCTCATTGGCAGATGGTCATCTGTATCAGTCACTACAAATGTAAAGTTGCCTGGGACCACAATGCCTCAGCTTTCGAAAGCGAATATTTCTACTTTATAATTACGTTTTTTAGCCGGAAGCAGGAATTTATGTAATTTACGGTTTATCATCTGTATCAATTGCTTAATTTTGTCCATCACATTACGTATAAGTCGTAAACTCTCTGAGCACTATAAGGATTATGCCGCAATTGGTCGTTTGAAAAGTAATTATTAAGCAGGAACTAACCGCATGCAGAATACACAAGAAAAATTAGTGGTCTTTTAGAGTCTTTGTGGCCCGTCAAGGAAATACAGTTACGTCACAACCCTTTCCCATAATGCATTTACACGGAGAGCAGGACCATAATTATACTTGCTTCAAAATTTTCACTTTTCTTTCGCGATTACGATGAGGATTACATCAATTCTATTTGTATATGAGGTTAAGCCGATTTCTTTGTCCATGCCGTTTACTCATTTTCTGTTTCAGCCATTGTATTTGACCAAGTTGTTGACTAGAAATGAACAGTAGCTCTGTCAGTTTCACAAAATTTTTGTAGTTAGATATAAAGTGAATTAAATGTCCATTAAGTTTAACAGTCATAAATAAAAGTAATAATTTATGCCACAAAAATTTTGTATTTACAAAATGTTGCATTATGTCGTCGTTTCATAATTCCTCTTCTGTAGATCCGGAGCTAGGATGGAAAAGGTCGAGGATCGGGGACCATATCGAGGTCACTCGTAAAACTTAATTACTGCCCTCATGCTGTTGCCGATATCGAACGTTGTAATAGCTAAGTCGTCGCCCCGGTTACCGAAGATGGCGCCGGCTGTTTGGGGAACTGCAGTAGGCTATCAAAGGTCGGCGATCGAAACTTATTTAACGATTTCTTGCATCTGGGTGCTGGACGGGGCGTATCAGCAGGGTGATGACCGCCATCCACAAGAAGTTGAAGATATCTGTGAGTAAAGGAAAGTTGGGAGCCAGGTTTGACACCCCTACTACCTGTCCATAGGCGATCATTGAAGCTAGCTGACTGTCGTTTCATACTTCGTACTTACGCGCTAAGTCGCACAGATAAGTTATAATGTCTCATTCATGAGAGTCCTTTGCCATAGATATTGTTCTTTCGTCTACGTCAACCTCTTTTTTAGATTTGATTGTGGTTGATGACAGTAAACAGGTTGTTCGTAATATATTACGGCGTCAGTGTTTTTATTGTATAGCTTCATACGGTTGCACAGATTTGACTAATAAAATCAAATTCTGCTAATAGGTTATTTGGCAGATGATTTGCAGTGTTCATAGAAAACAATCAATTGACATTCAATATGATGAAGAATGGGGATGTCTGTAGAGGGAGGGATTTTAAAAATCAATTACATGATTATGCGCAGGTTTATTTTTTTTAAATTGGCAATGCCGAGAGCTGTAGTAAAAATTTCGTTTGCTGTCCACGAAGTGCTTACGGATGGAATAAAACTTTTTACCGTCTGAGATGCTTGGTTCCTTCCATCAGGAATCAACAACTCAGCATCGGAACAGTGGAATGTCATGCAGTTGTCAGTAAAATTATCTGTAGTAATAAATTACTCAACTTTAATTTAAGCTCATTATATTCGTCCCTTGAAAGATTCATCCTTGAGATTTCAGTATGCTACGAGCAGCACTTATAGAGAAGATAGGATTATCGAGAAATACTGTTGCATGTTTGTTCTGTTTTTTCAAATCCGTCTCGCTACCACCATCAGGTCGTCAAACCAGTGAAGTTTCAGAATAGCACATCCGTTTAGACATGTGTGAATGCTATGCTATGATTTTAATGTTTGTTTCTGGAATACACACAGTATCAATCGTGCAAGTATTACATATTCATAACTGTACGATAATCGATGGACATAAGAAATGCAGGCAGTTTTTGCGAACTAGGTCCTATGCGGAGAAAAAACAAATGTCAAAATTTCATTTCACAGTCATACAATAGAATACAAGCAGTTCATACAGCGGTAGATGAATAACGAAAGACAACTGAATTTTACTTGATGACGATGAAGTGCTCCGGTAAGATGCAGCTGATCGATAAAGGGGTGACTTGTTCGAAGTAACTGTGAACCTTTGTGATTCTACGTCGGCAGAGTCAGAAACGAGCCTCTCGGTGACGATATCCAACGTGCAGCTAGGCATCAGGATATGCGCAACGTTGTTCAGAATTTTGTACACCAAGTTCCATGCTTCGATTCCGCAGCTGCGCAGAATAGTGTTCGCCACGCAGTTTCCATACAGTTTTATATAGCTAAAAGTGTGTGTAGAATCGTTGAACATTTGCTCAGTTTTAGTGAGGAAATAAGAAAAAAGTCTAAAATCAGTTCAGCTGATTGCGTCTGATGGCAGCCATATGTCACATATTGTTTTAAATGAATTGGGGTGCTGGGTCAACCTCATTTTCAGCATTTTGTTTCTTGAACAGAAGAATCGCCTCTTCCATGTTTCTAGCGTGTTTTTGTGCCTGAAGTATTCTGTAAATTATTCGATATGGCATTTGAACAGGGAGATCACTGCCAAGTTTAGACATTGCAATTTTATGCCGTCCCTGCAACGACATCGGTCACTCTTACTCTCCTTGATTATCCGATCTACTTCGTCTCAGGTGACATCTGGACAACATGTGTGATTCTTGTTTCCCTCGTTCTTTAATGTTCTCTGAGTCAGCACTTTTGGAGGATGCTTGTTTCCGGGTCTTTCAGGTTATTTACTAATGCGGTCTCATAGCTTTGTTCTTTTGTATCTGTCATAATCCTCTAATATTTTCTTCCGTGTTTCCTTGCACAATGCAAAGTACCTGTTGCCCAGTTCCCTGCCAGTCTTCATCCGGCTTTTCTGGGTTACAGCTGCGTTGTTACTGGCTGGTACGTTGTTTCCTCGTTTACTCTGTGCCCGGCTGGATGATCAAGTGGTAGCTTGAAGGTATCGATGAAATCCTGGTAGTATGTATAGATGCTTTTATTGACGTTTAGTGCGAGGTTCGGCTGAGGAAGCTTGTCTACGATAGCTTCACGATAGAATGTTCGTCCATTCGTCGGTGTTCTTGGAGCCCTTGTAACCCGATCTTATTTGCGACATCTATGAAGGGAGGAGTCTGTTATAT